ACTTACAAAATGTGAGCACAATCATCTTAGCTATCCTAAGTGTGTTTATACAAGTTTAGATATTTTTATTTTCCCTTCCTTTTTTCCCTCCTTTTCCCTGAGATATTATTTTTCCCCCTTTGGCAGATTCTTATCCTTTCGCTGTATTTATTGAGCATGTTGTGTCTTATGTGCTCTTATAATTCTTGTTTGAAAAGAAGATAGTTTGCATTTCTGACCTGCTTCATTGCCTGAATTGCTGTCAATATCTGCAGTTTAACTATCCTCTCCTCAGTAAGTAGATCTCTAACTGGAGCCTACTGCGTTTAAAGGTGTTTGGTAAACCGTTAACCTGTCTGCAACCTCATGAGCAGTTAAATACACTTCTAAAAATTAATGGTAAGACAATTTAAGCAATCTACTAGAGTCTTCTCCAAAAAGTATTATAGAATCAGATTTTTAAACCACTGATAATTTCTTTCTCCTAACTGAGAAGGAATAAGTACGTATTTATTTGATTAATGAGTTTAATTTTTAAATCCCAGCTGAATTATATCCTACAATGTGGGTAGAATCTGCAAAGTTATTAGAGGTCATATATGACAAATATTTGAGAAATCATAAGATAGAAATTAATAAAATATCTTTTCATGTTTTATAAGAGAAAGAAAGATATTATAAACTGATGTTGATCTCCAATGAAATTTAAGTGTGGCTTATTTAACCACTTCCTGTCAACCATAGAAAAAAAAAGTGTTCACTGTGAATCAGAATAGAGTCATTCAAAATAAGATACTTAACACTGTGTTTTGCTATATATAGCCAAGGTTATATATAGAATATCTGAGCTGCTAGTTTCCTGAATCTCGGTATAATGTCAATTTCCTCAGATGGTCTGATATATCATACGTCAAATTCAGCAAAGCTAATAACAGCTAGAACAGCTTGCAGAGGAGGAAGCTGTAGAGATGTCTCCAGTGATAAGAAATGAGCTTTGAGTTTGACTTTGCCACGTTCATAATGTGATCCATGACGTGAATAGGATCTGTCTGTACTCAAGTGCCATAAAAATGCAAGTGTAACTTAATTCATTGAGTAGGAAAAGACTCCCTCACAAGTAGCATTATGCCCACGATTACCAACGTGAAGTGTATGGAGAAGATTTTGAACTTAGCTCACCTCCCCTTCATTTGGCGGCACCTGTTAACGATTATTTCCACCTGCCCATCTATGGTAGGTGTTGGATATAAAGATGTGAAATGCATGGGCCTTGCCCACTAGGACCTCACTTTCGATTGTTTAAGAAAAAAATGAAGGAAAGTGCCCCTAACATTAACCCATGGGATATGAAGTTCCTATTTGTTTGCACATTGAATAAGGACCAACATAGGGCACTATTATTTATTCAAGATCCTGATTAAGGACAGAAGTACACTCAATATTTTTGTAAATCACAGCTACAGACTTATGTAAGCCACTGTGTTTTTTAAAGAAACTCTTAGTAACTAGAAATTTTAAGTGTTTGACTTGAAAAGAGGTTTAGAGAGTAATAATGTTCTTTAAAAATGAGTACCTTTGGGGCTGGGGATTTAGCTCAGTGGCATAAGCACCTGCCTTGCAAGCAGGCAGTCATGAGTTCAATCCCCGGTACCGATAAAAAGGAAAAAGAAAAAACAAACAAAAAAATGAATTTCCCCTTCCCTGAAAATGGGAATTAGACTTAATCTATGTAGCTTTGGTCACTGGCTGAAAATTAAAATGAAAGTTTTCAGACGCAGAAGTAAAAGCATCAGTTTATAGTTACCAAGGTGAGAGAAATTGTCTTGTAAGAATTCTTGCATTTATGGTATCTCAAAGAAAGTATAAGAAAGACTAGTCTAAGTAATTCCTTGCCTTAGGTCTAAAATATGATAATATCAGTTATACATTTATTATTAAGCTTCTCATTACATATATAAAATATAGAGATTTTTCCAAAGGCTAATTTCTGCACAAGAGCAAATATGTACACTGTTGGATAGCATACCAAAAAGTCATTTAAAAGAGCAATGTCAAAAAGTTTCAAAAATAGGATCAAGATTTATGTGTTGTGTTAAAGACCTAAGCAGGACATCTGATTCACTTAACTAAGTACGGTATGTCAACAGCACTGGAGAAGATCGGCTGCCCTGAGAAGTTACGCTGAAGAAATTTATATAAAAGTTTTCAAGTATAAAAAAATGAAACCTCATTTTCAAATGTCTATACTTTAGTTATGATCATTATTTTTATGTAGTTTGATTTCGTTGTTAATGTTACATTTAGGTTACACAAAAATAATTCATTATACAGTGATTTCATTATAAAAGCAAAAGGCTAAAAGTGAAAAACTATTGTTGAAGAATCCATGTGCTGCTGGCACATGCTCATTCCTAAACTATGAAATACATTCTTAAAACACTCCCCGGTTAACACTTACTCATTATGTGACATCTTGCTGAAAGATTTTAGACTGGAATTCATAGATAATTGCTTTATCTGGGAGTCATTATCTCTAACAACACTACTCTTAAATGCACAAGGGGTATTTTATTACTAAACTGTGATGGCTCCTTTGGATAGCTGAATGAGAAGGGATTATGGTGCTTAAATCAACATCAAAATATAACAAATCATCCTGTCCTGAGAGCCACTTTTATTACACTGGAACCTGACCTTTTTTCATCTTAAAATATTATGGTATCCCAAGGGTGCAAAAGAAACAGCACCTAGAGAAGGCTGGTGGGAAAGTAGTAGCCAGATTAGAAAAATCTCCCCTGCTGTGCCAAGGGGCTGTCATTCATCCCGAAGGTGATGAAGACCCATTGCAGAGTCTCACGCAAGAGAAAAGCTAGGTTTGACATGAGTAGAGTGTGGAGAAGTCCCTAGATGAAAACATCTGGAAACAGAATCTTTAGCTAGAAGGTTATTCTAATAATCCAGGTTAAAGATGACAGTGGCTAGATAAACCTAGCAGCCACAAGGAAACAAGCAGAGAAAAACAGAATTGGCGAGCAGAATTGGCGACATGTGGGCTAAGAGAAAGCTCTAGGTTGCTGACCTGAGCCACTCAGCAGATGGCAGTGACTCTCAACTGAAAATGGGACACAGGACAATTGGCAGGAGAGATGAGCTTCCTAGGTGACAGTTCAGAGACTGGGTGCTTTTGTGTTATACAGTGAACTCTACCTAAGCAGCAGTTAGAAATAAAAGTTTAGGGCTCACTGGAGATTTCCATGATGAATATATAAAATTCAGAGCTCATGGAACACAGGAAACTAGTGTCATAGTCATGAGTTAAATCACCAAAGTGGCATGTGTAGGAAAAACAGAAGATAAGAGCCAAGAGTAAAATCAACAAAACTAATCTACTAGACAGACAGGGAAGAGAGAGACCGTGAAGGAGGATAGGAGTAGAAACTGAGGTAGGGGATGAGTCAACAGATTTAAGGAAAACTTGGAAATAAAAAATTTCAGAGACAGCCAGGGTTTTATTTCAGTGGCATAAACACTTGGGTGGCAAGCGGCAGGTCATGAGTTTGATCCCCAGAACAACAACAACACCAAATTCAGAGAAAGAATGACCAGAAATAGGCAATTCACGTGTCATGATCACTGTGCAGAAATTTCAGTTCAGGTGGAAGATTTTAGGGGTGAGCCAGGGACAAGACAAAGCTTCCCACAGACAGAAAACTATGTCAAAGAGATGGAAAAGATGCAAGCAAAACCATGGACTATTTGGAAGGAAACTGAGGCAGGCCCAAATAGGAGCTTTCCTTTCTCTGAGAATAGGAAGTTATCCTCTGTAGGGGGAGGTGGAAATTCAGAACAGAGATTGTACTGTTGTGATGTAAAGAAGGATCAGATCAGGGGCTTAGTTGTCAGCATCCACATCTGTGCTGCTCCTGACCACTGCTGCTCACCTTCCCTTGGGGTGCAGGTTACAGGAAGTAAGCCATTGCCCTGAGTGCCTTAAATCCTGTCCTGGAAAATCGAGCTGAAATCCAGCCCCAAAGTTCCATTTATTTATTCATGTATTCACTCCCCAAATCAAGGATCACGTTTTCACTAAACTACATTCAATACTGCGTTTTTGTGGCTTATTAAGTGTGCCAGGTTTCTCCCCCCTGAAGTCGAATACATTTCTGGAAGGTGGAAAGTTATATTTTACTTTCCTTCCCTCATTGGGTTTATTCTCAAGGCGGCTTTTCCCGTATCCTGTCTCACACAGCGAGCACTGTGTGTTAAACGTGATTCTGCCTCGTGACACTTTGATTTCAAAGCTGTGTGTATACTGCTCTGCTACTGGTCTCATTTTCCGTGGAAGTACCTTAAAGCTTAGCATGCCGATTCCCCTTACCATGCACGTGCAAGGAAGAGGTGTGGGTGTAAGTTTGCTCAGTTCAAGTTGAGTTCTCTGTATTTATATAGACTCACCGATATTTGGCAAAAAATAGACCCCATTCTTCAGATGGTAGAAAGGCTGACTTCTGTTTGCCCACGTTGTCTCTGAGAACCACTGTGCTTTTCACTTCCCTATAACTCTATGCAGGGCCCTGATGGGCAGACAGAGACCTCCCAGGAATCTCCACACTTTCACCGGCACCTCCTAGTTCTAAAATAAGGCCAGGGGAAAAGCATAAACTTTAGAGACACACTTGAAATTATATTTCCCAAGTTAGAAAAAGAGGAAAATGTACACAGAAGTTGATATAGGGAAATCAGAAATTCTTCTCACTATAGCTATAGTAACATAACAAACAGGACCAGTTTCTCAAATGAAGACTCTCTCTCTCTCTCTCTCTCTCTCTCTCTCTCTATATATATATATATATATATATATATATATAACAAATATTATGTTTCCTCTTAATTATAAAAAGTATGTGTGTCTGCTGTGCATTTCCACAAACAGACACAGTCATAAGTTGAGAGCTGTATGATGAATTACATTCTATGTCTCACTAAATTAAAAACAAAGCTCATCTGCTTTGTCTTTACAGGACTGTCAGCATCACACTGCTGGTGATTTTTGCGAGCGGTGTGCTGTGGGATACTATGGAACTGTCAAGGGATTGCCAAACGACTGTCAGCAATGTGCTTGCCCTCTGATTTCTCCCAGCAACAAGTAAGACTGAGAAATATAACCATATTTCCCAATCAGTGATGCCATCTGTCTAGCACATGGCTGTCTAAGACTTGGCTATTTCCATGTAGACAAGACTTTAAAAAAATATATATAAAAACATGACAAAAGTAGGTTTATATATGCTATGGTTCATTTGTCCTTTAAAACCCCGTCCAAAGTAAATAATATTCATGAATACAAGTGAAAGTACCAATAATAACAGAAGATCTGCTCATAAAATAAATGGCATATGTACAAATGTACATGGTTTTATAAATATGCAGGTCTAGTGTTTGCATATAGGTCTTCCAAAAATTCAGCTACAAAGAATTGTTTGGGTGGGTACTACATTATTTTTGTGGCTGATTCCATTCATGGTGTGTGTTCAGTTCGAGATTGGGAAATAATTACCAAGGATACAATTGAAAAATAGCACAGTGAAAGCGGCGTGACTTACGATTATGCTCTAGAAAGGTCAGTGTCTGCCGGAATTACTGCCCCCTTTCTCCTAAGATGGTCTGAGCCTGGTGCCATGGAAACCGCCATCCGGGGGAGCAAATGCTGGGATATCTTATTTCAGGGCTGCCTGAACATTTCAGCCTTGGTTTTTATTTTTATGAAAATCTCTAGGTGTCTTCATTTACCTTTTTGCTAAGCTCGTACTTTCTGTTGAGTGATTCCTGGACTTCAATCTCTAGGTGATAAAGTAGCTTTTCTGTAGGAATCTACTTTTGAAGAAGAAGAAGAAGAAGAAGATGCAGAAGTTTGTTCAGATTTGGAATTGCAGACAACTTATCTGGAGTACAAAAGAGGCACAAAGTCAGGCAGACAGAAGTTATCTTCCTGTCTGCGCCTGTTCATCTGGCTATTCTGTCTTCAACTCTGAATACATTCTGAAAACAATTTTTTTAATAAATTTGCTTCTTTCCCTCCTGGAAGTCCCTGTTTTTTTCTCAGCCATAATCACAAACTTTTTCTGAGGTTTCAAATGTAAATGTTCAAGTAAAATGGAGATTAATTATGCTAATAATATACATGATCTTATTTTCACTAAAGCACCAAAAGGCAGGTGTGTGAAACAGATCATTTTCATCTCCTTTTCCCCAATGCCCCTCTGATGCCAATATTTAAACAAAAGAATGTTCTCTGTTTACTGTCTATTAAGATGTGAAGAATTTGGATTAGAAAAAAATCAATGGTTCATTAACAATTTCGTGTTGATTTTGCTATAATGACAGCTGCAGAGACTATGAGAGGACAAGAATCTGGAGAGGAACCAAATTCAATGTTAAGACAATTCAAGGACATAAAACACTACTTAATTTCAGAAGCTTTAAGAGCACACTAAAAGAAGTGTTTATAGGTATGATAGATTGTCAGCAGTGGACTGAAATGGTTTTACTGGTATGGATAGTAGGCAGTGATAGTAGCTTAGAAAATACAATGCAGAGAAATGTTTGAGAGTTCGTAAGTAATGGAGTTCGGAGCATGGCCTTTAAATGGACAGAATTTCATAATTACAGATGAAAATGAATGAGAGATTGGAGGCCACATTGCAGAAGTCCTTGAATACCATTCTAAGAAATTAGTGTTTAATTTTTCAATATACCAAAAAGCTTCAAATTCTATTTTTTTAAGAAAAGGTTAACATGATCAGAGCCACATTTTAAGAAGTCTATTATGATAGAATTGAATATAATGAATTGAAACAGGCAAGGAAGAAAAGCAATGAGACCAATTAAAAGGCTACTGCAGCAGCCTGGGAAAAACATAATTAGGACTTAAAGGGACGCAGTAGAAACAAGAGTGGAGACATGGGGATGACAGTGAGACACTTGTTAAACATAGCCCTGCAGAACTGGTACCTCATTAGATGCGAGGGCTGAGGGTCCAGGGAGGAGTAGCTTACGGAGAGTTTGAGCCACACTGTCCAAAAAGCAAATAGTGGTGGACCCATGAGCTGAAATAGGAAAATCAATGAATTCCAGCTTCAGAAGAAAGGCAATTTATGGTTTAAGTAGCTCCAGATTGATGCGGAGGGTCTACCTGAGTAGAAATCTGCAAAGAGCTGCAGAAAATGGAAATCTGAAAAACTACCCAAGCAGAGGAAGGAAGAAATGTGTTAGTAAATGGGTTGAAGTCAGATAAGATTTCCCAGGCTGACGTTACTCAAGGGGGAGCACATGCAAAGGAGGAAAGACAGGACTCTTCTCTAAGGACACCATTAGAGAACAAAGGGCCACAGCAGTTCAGGGAGACCAGAAGTCGGACAGTGATATCACTGACGCCCAAAGAGAGACAGCAACAGTCAACAGGGCCAGGCGCTGCTCTATCAGGGAAACCCCAAGTATAGCAGCCAATGACGGGGGAGGGGGGCGCATTGATGAGTTCTAACAACCAATAATAGAAGCAGGCAGTCAGGTTACAGTTTTACGAAATTATAAAAAATGAAATACCACTTTGAATCCAAAGAGTAGTGCATTTTCTGTCTGTTTCATTTTTGGCTCAGGATTTATATAATTTTTATGAAAAAGGCCCTGAAAGAACTAAAATATCAAATTATAGTGACTATTCAGTTGTTTTCAATCTTTATTGACCACAACCATTGTAAGAAATAGTTCTTTGAATCATAAATCATTTCTCAAAAACTTAATCTGTATAGATCACTAATAAACTGTGGATAGAGATAGAGGAGACTGAGAAACCTCATTTCGTTTGTGTAGCCCATTGAAACAGGGTGTAGAAGGCATTGGGAGTGACGCTGGCTCTGTTCCATAGCATTTGTACAAGTCTTCATCTCTTCTGCTAAAAAAAAAAAATAGTAAACTTTTCACACCTTGACAGACCAGCAGCACTGACACACCCTGGAAGGTGTTTGCACACACACCCAAGGAAAGGTGAGACCTCAGCACGACATGAGAAGCCATCTGCCACCTGACCACCTTTCTAGACTTGAGGCCCTCTGCTTACTTCTATGTGAGGCCAAGTTTGGAATTTCTTGCTCTTTCCTGAATGTGCGTGGCCATCTTTGTTTCAGCTGTTCCGAGACAATCCCTGTGAAATGCAACCATTTTAAAGAAAGTGCCCCCTCTGCCACCAAAATCTCTTCATGTCTTTTGTTCACTTAGTATCCTCCTGATACATGTTGTCCATCTTTATTTCAACCAAATGTTCTTGCAGAATTTGAACATCTACTCAGCTATAAGTTCTCCACCTCAACATTTTGAGTAAGAGATGAAGTGCATGGGTTCCATCAAATATGTGTATCTGTCTGTATCACAGAAGTATAAGTTCTACAAAGTTAGGGATAGCATTCTATTTTATTCCTTTAATCAAAAGATATTTAGTGGGGGCCCAACTTGAAGTCAAGTGTGATTCCTCATGCTGGGAATTTATAAACAAGAATAGGCCATGTTTCCTGCTCTGCTAGAGTGCATGTCTTATTTTATAAGAATGTAACACAACAAGCAAATGGATACAGAGGTAATACCAGGTTATGACAGTGGTGCCAAGAAATACAAAGCAGCCTCAATGAGTCAGTAGTGCCTGTGGTGCCATTTTGGAGAGTGATCAGTGATCTCCACGCATCGAAAAGTGATGGAGATTTGAAGGCAGTAACAAAGCAAGCCATCCCAATATAGGCAGTGCAGCTAAGGACAGAAGGTGGCCTGTCCCAGACACAGGCGCATGTGTGGCCCACAGTTGGCAGAGAGCAGTCTTAGGGTGGCTGATGTAGACTGGATGAGGAAAAGGGGCGCACAGCTGAAGCCAGCAAAGCTCAGATGGATGAAACCAAATATACTGAAGGCTAAAAATCTTCCAGTGATAAGAGGTGGCTTGGAATAGCAAGGTCTTTCAGTGATGCCACTGATGGTAGCACCAGGGAGGGGGGGCCACTGGTAGGTAAAGAGTCAATGTGGACTGTGAGAGAAAGGAGACAAAGTTATTTCCATGGCTCTGGACGGGACAAGCAGAAGCATGGGCTGACCTCATTGCAAAGGGAAAAATCCCAAGAAGTCAACTGTATTTTCAGAGGCATGGAATCCAAGTTTTAGCTTGTTAGGTCTAGTAGGTCTTTTGGAGAAAGGAAAAGTTGGCTTGAGATCACTTTTCCTTCATTCTTAAAGCCCTTAAAAATGAATGGAAATATTAATAGAAATCAGTAGAGGGAAGGAGAAACCTGAAAGCTGAACCGAGAAGCACACGAAGCCATCAGGGATATCGGTGAAGCTAAGAAAGAAGAACCAGTGAACCAGGATAGAAGCCGGAAGGAGACGGTTTTCCCAGAAGTGAATTCATTAGGGTCAAATCCCAGATGGAAGACACGGAGCACAAGCCTGGAAGGTTTGAAAGGTCTGATGAGAGGCGTTTAGAATTTGTAACCACAAGGAAATGTAGATGGTGATCATCAAGAGAAAAGCCCAAGGATTTCCAGGTGACAGATGAAGTGGAAACTGAGGCAGGTGAAGGAGTGATGAGAAGAAAGAATCCCTCTACTTTTGGGCAAGGCATATGTCTAATTTCCCTGTCAGAAACTCTTTTATGTGCTATAAGGCTAATGTGCAGTCTTCCGCAATAGCACAATGCAACTAAGTCTGTATCCGCTCTTCAAGGAGAATGACCACTTTCCTGTACAGCACTTTCCCATACTTTAGTTATTCACTGAGTACTTTATTTTTCTCATTTTATTATTTTGCTGTAAAGGAATGCACTTCAATCACGTTGGCTATGTAGAATTGCACTGGAAATGTCTAAAAATCTGTTTCCGGGTGCCTATCTATGTCTATGAGTTTTTGTGTTTCGGAACACACAGATGTACTTGGCATCAAGTTTTAAATTAAAAAGCTAAAAATTTGACAGACTGTCAATTATGATTTTATGGGTCTGTTTTTTTCTATGTGTAGCAAAAAATGTGGGATAATGAGTTAGTGAGTACTAGATTCATTTGTTCACATATTTTGCCAAGATTAGAGTTTATCATTCTTTTATGCACTATTGATTTAATGCACTGGAAGATACTTAAAATAGTTTTTTATAACACCTAATCCAAAGAAGTTGTGGTCCTGCCTGTATATTTTATTGCTATTTATTCAAATAAGCAATTTAGCAGATCAATAGAAACAAATAAACAAAAACATGGTATTTTGCAACTAGTAAGTTTTCTCTTTCTAAGTTTCCAGTGCATCGTGTAGTTGTGTCCAATGGAAACTTATCACTTACATTTTGAAGACCTGTGTAAAAAACTAAAGCTATACAATAATAGTTTGGCTTTCAAGTTGCATCAAGATTTTTCTTTATGGAATAAGAGAATCGGAAATCCTGGAGCAAGATACTGTGGTCTGCAGTGCTGTAGTGGAAACACAGATTAAGTTATCAGAGACTTAATTATTTAAAAAATCCTAAAATAGTGATCAAATCCTACTTATTTTGAGGTAGAAATCTTTCTCTTCTTTCTTCGTACCAAATCACATTTTATCTTTAAAGTAAAATGATTTTGAAATCTGGATATAAATTAGAAAAGAGACTCTTATTCTAAGCGAAACATTTATTCACACTTTGTATCTTGAACTACCAGTGACAATTTGGACTCAGTTTTCAGGAAATAATTACCTAGCTTTATGTCCTAGTTTTTTTCCTTTTTTAGGCTGAAATATACTGCAGTACCTAGTCTACTATCGGACAAATATCTAGGAGTTTTAGTCCATGAATTCCATGAGTTAGTGAACAATGCAACACTTGGGGTAGATATTTAATATTTTCATGGCTATTGTATAATTATCAGAATACGAAGCCTTTGATATTTTAATGTTATGTCTTATTAATTCATCAAAAACCAACTAATAATAGTTTATTAGTAGTAGTACTTAATTGTAATCACTGATCCTGAGATAAGAATTTCACTTACAAATACATTTATCACCACCTGAAAGTAGGCTCTAACTATCTTAATAATGGGTAGCAAGACTTAATTTCATAAGATACATTAATTAAAAGATTTCTCACCATCTTTTTGTTCTTTGCTGTCCAGCTTTAGTCCCTCTTGTGTCGCAGAAGGCCAGGATGACCATCGCTGCACTGCGTGCCCACGGGGATACGAAGGCCAGTACTGTGAAAGGTACCAGCAGTCCTCGTGCATTGCGCCCCTGGAGGAAGAGTTAAAATAGAAAATTGTGATTTTAATAATGTCATTTCTCTCCTGTTCTCCAGTTGTTTAAATTAGACACATCCAAAATTGTTTTACCTTTTAGACTTTCTCCCAAAAACCTTTCTTTCATCTTCTACTTAGCTTTTTAAACATACCAAATTATTTCTCAGTTCATTCTTGCTTTGGAATATATAGAAGGAGGCAGATGCAAAGATAGGTATAATTTTATTAGGACGAATAAATTCATTTTCAGAGGCTTATCAGTAGTTACTAGTAATGCAAAGCTAGCCGAGTATTTCTGATTTAAGTTCAGTGGAAAACACTGCCAGGTCATGTCCCATTTTCCACAGTCTCACACCAGCAAGTGTATATATAATCCAGAATATATATGGAAAGCAGCATTTTTAATTAACACTACCCAAAGAATACAGTAAAGCATCTATTACTCAGTTCACTTCTTAATGGCAAACAGTGTCATCTAAATGCTTCATTTTCTCATAAGAAATCACAAAACGTTTAAAGCATGTATTTAACTATTATTGAAGTCTAAATGCAATTCAAATAGTAAACTAAGGAATACAATTTTAAACTATCTACTAAGATCATAATCGATGTCTTCCAAATACCTATTTTCTGCAAGATCAGTGTCCCAGGTATTCATATTTGCCACCATCACTTTTAGTACCTCTGGCATGACAGGAAGTTACCACCATTAACCATGCATGTGACACCCACATAATAACCGTAGCATAACTGGTTCAGCAGAACAGAAGATTTGTAAAGATCCATGATCTTGATCCTGCCATGTGGTCTGGGGTTCATTTGTCTCGTGTATAATTCGAAGATCCAATGCTCCACCTACTAAACCACACACTGTGAATGACTGTGTTTGTGAGAGGCAGTGTCCACACTGCCCAGAACCCACGTGGAAATCTGTTCTCCAAAAGGAGCATGAGAAGCCGTAGACTCTACCCTGCCATCCTCTGTGGGTTCATTGCCAGTGATGATGGAGTGGCAGAGTACTCAAAAGTCATTTGTTCTCCCTAAAAGCAGTGTTACTTATGCTTCACACCACTCTACTGAGTCAGGATAAGACTGCAAGGGTGACCTGAAATCCTGTCCTTATCTGATGCTTCCTTTTCTCGTCCTACTTCACCCACTCCTTGCCTGGATCCTCTTATGAGCTCCTGAAATTATGACTCTTTTTTGCAAAGATCAGCTAATAGTAATATTCTTCACCACCCTTTTCAGAATCTTTTGTTAACCATAAATTGCTGTATTAGTAATGGTAATAGGAAAGTGATTATTGAGAATTAAATTTTATAAATTTAAATGCGTTTTCCACAAGTTTGTAAGGTATACTTGCAAATAGAAACCTCTGTCTAGTAATTCTAAACACAATATCTGCTATTTGCAAATGTATAGCAATGCATTTGTAATTTCCATGCCAGCAGGCATGGTACTATGTATCTGTAATCCCAGCACTTGAAAGGCTGAGGCAGGAGGATCACCATGAGATTGAGGTCAGCCTCTATGTAAGCAAGCCAAGGTCAACACTGAACTGCACAGCCTGTCTCAAAAATAATCAATCCATAAATAATAAAAAACTCTGAAATGTCCATGCCAACAGGAATTAGCAACAATTAAACAACTCACAATACAAAATCCAAAACCTTTTTATTTGCTTTGAAGATGTATATATCACTTGGATGGAGCTCATAAGTGATAGAGGTCTATCTAATTTAATGACCACCATGCTCTTTGGTATTTGTACTTAGGCACCCATTACATCTACCAGTGGTAAGTGAAACATCCCTGGACACCAAGGAAATTATCTGTAGTAAATTATATAAGTAAGTAAATACATAAATGATACTGTAGCTAGAACTGGAATTACCACATATCGTCAAAAGCATATGTACAGAAAACACTGGAGGGTTATACCCAGATGGCAAGTACTGTCTTAAAGCAGAGTGAATACAGAAATCCACTCTTTAGATATCCATTAGTGTTTAATCAATAAGAGTTGACAGTTCATACAGCAGATAGATGAGCAGGATCATTCACTATCAAATGTGAGTGATTTGAATTGTTTCTGCAATTCTTAAATGTTGCTATAGCTTTGCATTCATCTTCTCTAACATAAAAGTGATCAGGTTATATTTCCTTGAAAAATTGCTTCTATTCAGCTAAATTAAACCAAAGGTCTGGGTTAAATTTTTATTGTAACCTTCCAGATAAATTTGTTCCACTCTGAGAGCTTCTTAAATCATTTAAATCACCTTATGACCTTCCTACACCCGGCTCCCATCTAAAACTGCTTAAATTTCTTGATTATCCCCACGACATAGAAACCCCTCCTCATACTTTATCTTCATTACTCTTGTAACAAACTCTTTGAAGATGTAATCAGTTTGAACCTGGTTAGAATACTGTCATTTTACCAACAAATGTTAAAAAGTAATGTGAGGACTTACTTAGGTCACAGATTTATTGAGAAGTTGTAATGATTTTATATTAGAAAAATAACAATCAAAAACATGAATGTAAAAAAGACAAATATTGCAAGTCATCTTCTTGTTGCTTTGGCTTTCTATCCAGCACAAGATGAACTCACTTTCCTAATCAGCTAATTAGCTATGCAAATTTCCACCATCCCAGATTGCTATGTCTAGGATTATCTAACCAGTTATTAATGACTTTTGGCTCCAACTGTCAGACTGTCTCTTGACTCAAACCTGTTTGATGAACAAAAATTCTGAATATTAGTTATACTTATGTGGAATATACACATACACATGGACAGAGCGAGAGACCCTCTGATGAGGGACAGGAATTACTTTGAGAATTATGCAAGACAGCTGATAATCTGGAATTCTTCTGGACAAAGCAGAAACACAAGACCCTGCTAGCATCTTGTATTTCCCCAGTGGCCAGTATTGTGGTCCATGGTGGCATGTTCTTGGGTGAACAGATACGTGGGTAGGTAGAAGAGTCAATGAATGAACTGCATTTAGACTTCAACCAGTTGAATTTTGCTTTCTAATTTCTCAAGTTGATGGTACAGATTTTATCTGCATAATATTAACCCACTTTCCCAGACACATAATGAAAAATCCATCCTGAGGAAGATGTGGTAAGAAAGATGAATAGAATTAAATAGAGAATCAGAGTTGCTTATTACCATCGATTGTGCTGCTTTCTCCTCATTTTAGTAAAATTAATGGGCTGTATTGTTTGGTTATTTTGATCTCTAAAATGTGTGAATATAGAAAAGCCCAGGACATATAATTTTATTCATCTCTAATTTTAAACAGGCTTTTTAAAAAGTTCATGGACTGGAACTACAGTGGGAAAACTACAGGCAGGGCATTTCCAGTAATTTTTTTTCCAATTTTGGCCTTTGGTTGGTTTTCTGTGGTACTTATATCAAGAACCATTGCTATAGGCAAACAGTTACAATCCATTCCATGAAGCAAAACACTAAATCGGAAAATTTAAATAAAATTTGATACCTCAAAAAGAGTTCCTTTAGAATTCTCCTACTGTAGTAAACTGCTACAAAGTAATTTCTATTTGTTTCTATCAACAATAGTAATACTAAAATCTTAGAAATTTCCTTTTTCACAATATAAATTGGATTTTGCCTTTTGGCCAGTAAAGCATAAAGTAGACTGCCTGGTGTTTTAGAGAAAAATTTCCCATGCCCCCCAATCTAAAGGATCTCCAGATGATGACAGTTTGGTTTCATTTAAAACAAAACACACACACACACACACACACACACGCACACACGCACACACGCACACACACATGCACACAGCCCACTGAGAGATCTGACTTGCACTGACCTCCTTGGCCTGGTCACTGTCTCCATGCAGGTGTGCTCCTGGCTACACCGGCAGTCCAAGCAGCCCTGGAGGCTCCTGCCAAGAATGTGAGTGTGACCCCTACGGCTCGCTACCCGTGCCCTGTGACAGGGTCACGGGCCTCTGCATGTGCCGCCCAGGAGCCACGGGCCACAAGTGTGACAGCTGCCAGCCCGGCCATGCACGCGAAGGCGCAGAGTGTGTCTGTACGTACCCTCACTAACAGCTTCGGTTTGGGGCCACGGTCCTGTTTCATTCCCATTCCCACTGGCTCACGGGTCTCCTGCCTTTGATCGCTAGCCCTGCTCTTCATCCTCCTAACACTGTCTTCCTGCCTTCTGCTGCTCACCTGCTGCTTTGTCTCCATCCCGCCGAGCCACAAGCAGCTGAGAAAACCCTCAGCATGTTTTAGTCCGTCCAGCAAAGACTCACCACAGTGCTCCTGAAGGAGAACTTTACCATTTATTTTATTTATTTATTGTTTTGTCCATATTGGGCTTTGCTGTTTTGCCTTTATGACAGATTAAAGATCCAACTACATTAAATTTTTTAGAATCCTCTTGAATTTGCAATCAGCTGGGCAGGCATGTTAAGCCTTGAGTTATAACGTTCGTTTCCGTTCCCAGCTTTTACAGAAACCCATGAGGGTGTTGTTTTGTAATTTGCTCTTGAACTGCAAAACCTGGAACAGCAACAGTGAACTAAATTTTTAAGTAATTTTTACTCACATACACAATGAAGGGAGTCTCTGCACTCTTTCCTTTCTTTCTTTGTCTCTCTCTCCATCTGTCTTTTTACCCAGTCTAGATTCAGTGATGCTATTATGAAAGTATCATGATATTAAATAAAATTCTTAAATCTTACATAAACTCTAATCTAAAATAGTTTATCAATTTAAGGGGATGAATGTTGTGATAATCTTTCCTGTAAGGAAGCTTTTATTTATTTTATTTTATTTTAAAATATCTATGCATGTCAGTATTCGCTTTGTATGTGTGTCTCAATATTAATAGCACTGTAATTAGAAGAAAGCTTGCCTGTGCTCTGGTTTTCTGCCAGTTACTTCAGAAGCTAAACATGGACTTAAAACTGTGCTAACAAGTTCAGACTGGTTATGTTTTGGAAGATAAGTTTTTACATTTTTTTCTTTGTATTTTAATTCTCTTTAATGAAAATGTAGTATACTTAAAGTAAAAATAAATGTAAAGTACAGGGAAGAGATTAAATATAAACATTACTCTTATCATGTTCAGTTATTGATGTATACGTACTTGTTAATGGCACTTTACTGATAATGGAAGTAGACTACCAAGCACATTTCACAATATTTCTTCATGTTAAATTACAAATCTAGAAATAAATAACTAGATAATATAGAGGTACTCTTAATATAAACATTAGTCTAAATAATTCTTGAATTAGAAATCATGGATTTTGTTAAGTATCCAGAAGTAAACATTAAAAGCAGTGTCTTAGTTACTTTTCTCTTGTTGCTGAGACAAAATATCTGACACCCCAAATTAAGGAAGGAAAGTTTATTCGCTCGCGGTTTGTGGAGGTTTTAGTCCGTAAGCAGCTGGCTCCACGGTGGGTGGCAGGGTGAGAGGCAATGGTTCATGGCAGCAGAAAACAGCAAAGCAACAAGAGGGAAATGAGGAGAGCAAGGCTGTCTCCCTCCCTTCTGTCAGAGGCAGGCCATCCCCACCAGAGGGTGGGTGTAGCACTCACACTGTTGCCCTGCCCTCCTCTTACCAGGCTGAGGATGTTTACAAAGTGAGGACCCTGATCCCCTGCTGAATCACTGAGTTAAACCTCTAAACTTCTCAAGTTGATTGCATGTATCAGCCATTACAAAGGGTATGTTTAAGTTTACACACAAAATTAAACAGGAGCACACTACAATCTTGGAATGTTAAATCATGGGAGTATCTTCTGGCCTATTTCTAAAAAGTAGAATTGGCATTCTTCTCCTCAATAGTGGCTTCAAACTCTTTGTTTCTATTGATGATCAATACTTTATTTATATATTTTAAATAAGTTTATCATACTGAGAAAATTTAACTCACTTTCTCCCTGTCACAGAGATTTCCAAACTCCAAGCAACCCATGTGATATTTTAAAAAGTGCTGACCCCCCAATTACAAAGCTACCAGAGCCCTGAATTGTTCACTTGTGCTATTGATGTCCAGGGAGAAATACGCTTGCGCTTGCTGTATGTGGCATTCTCTTCCCTTACTGTGTCTTAGAAATTCGAATATTCTTCTGGAAGACTGTTTTTGTAAACAGTTTGTAATTTTATTGTGTAGATGTTCCTTATGCTAATCATCTTGGCTTCAGTGATTTCCACTTCTAGGAGTTTTGTTGTTTTATTTTTCCTTCATTATTTCAACTCTAAGAATTATCACATGGAATATTCTAGACTTTTCTCTCCTTCTAATCTTTTTTAATTTCTACAGGCCTGCAAAAATATGCTGCCATTCTATTATGTTGCTCTTTGCCAGAATTCGGTTTCTACACCTGGTTTTGAAATGTTGGATAAAGACAAAACACAAGGAATGACAAAATTCTGGCTTATTCTCAATTCTCTTTGTAAGATAGTTCTATATCCTGGAGCAAAATTACATCAAGGAATGAAAGAATAGGTTTACATGGTGGATCTCGAGGGCTTGTTTCGTCACCTATGATCACAGTGCCCGGGAGTGTGAGCTGGGGACCCAGGACCGAGGAGAGCAGAGAATAGATTTATAGTAAGAGAGAGAGCTGGGACTGCTTGCTAATATGGTTCTGACTGTACAGAGTGAGATGTTTGCCTGGTAGTAGATACAAGTTAACACTCAGATAGCTGAGTTACATGTATGGTAGTTAAATTTGCTCTTTTTAGTTAATTCTCTAAGAAACACAATTCAAATCAGCCTATCTTGTGGGTTGTATTTTGTTCAGACCCAATAAATGGCTTAGGATTATTCATTGCACCATCTCAGGTGAGCTTCTTATTTGTGGGAAGAAACTGTATATTCACTATACAGTTAGAATAATTCTCCCACTTAATAAAAGATGGAAAATTCTGATGAGGAGACTGGACTACACAGAACAAATACAGAAATCATGAAAGAGCTTCCTTTGGCCAACTAACTCCCGAAAAGAGGGTAACACCCAGTTGCAAGTGAGCAGACTAGGACTTTAATGGACCCCCCAATGGAAATTCCTACAGGACACAGACTTTGTAGGTATGACATTTCCGTTGCTGTGATGGTGAATTTGTAGAAATAACCTGCTGTAAAAATAAATCTGCAGTAAAAAATATTTAGACCCAGAGGCACTCAGTGTCAGTCAACAAAGTGTAGCCCTATCAAGGTTACCAGTTCCATCAAACAGAGCCAGCACCTGGGCATAACTAATCACTCTCAGCCTACACTTTCCAGGCCTTCCCTGAGGCAGTCCTTGTCACACACAGGTTCATAGCAAGTTATTTAAAGGCTCACCTTGAAGGAATGCTCACCATTTGCCAGTTACTGTGTTGATTACTTAGTATGCAGCTCTTTCACTTCTTGGTACAACCCTGTACATTGTTATCACCATTGTGTGATAAGAAAACTGAATTCAGGGACTGTCCATCACCTTTCTGATCCACCCAGCGGTCCATATGCTGGAGGCTTGGCCCCAAAGGTGGTGGAAGTGAGGCTTTGAGAGATGTGCTGAAATCCCTTGGCACCAAGCAAACAGGCACACAGAGGAGATGATGCAACCCTGCCCCACTTTCACTCCCATGATGGGTGTACAGTTTTGCTTCCTCACCCGCTTCCTGCCTTTCCCCTGGCACATGTCTAAGGGGCCAGAAGACAAGAGTTTGCCTGCCCTTGGACTGGAACCCACAAAACTATGAGCTAAAATAAACCTTCTCTCTAAACCAATTGTCTCAGACATTGCCTCTAGTGACAGAAAGCTAATACTAATCACATTGTGAAGGTTCACAGTGACTTTCCCACAGAGCCATGATTTGAACTTTAAAATCTTGGCAAATTTGTCTTGCAAATCTTATTTCCTTAATCTGTTTCCTGGCCTCCAATGCAAAATGCAGAAAGTCAACATGGTGCCCTCTGTATATCCAACATTAATGAAGTCAATCTTTTATTCATTTATTTCTTCTGGGCTTTGAATCCATTTTACCTTAGTGAAGAATAAAGATCAAATGGGTTAAAGGTCAAATGAAACAATGCATATATTTGAAACATTGCACATATATAAACACAAATACTGAATCAAATTCAGTGTTTAGGTTCAATGTTAACCTAAGGTGAAAATTTGATTTGGACCTTGTTTAATTCAGTTTGTGACCAGAATCACAGAAAGAATTAAGTTTGTGAACTGAGGGACCACAATATTTCCTGCTAATTATGAAACTCTTCTAAAATTTAAAAGTTTATGGTATTTATGATGGGTGCTGACCTCAGAGAAAGGCAAGAAAGATTTCCCCCTTCGCAGAAACAAGAACACACTGCCCTAGAGCTTAGATTAACTTCACAGCCTTTTTTTAAAAAATAAAAATTGTTTGAGACAAGTATATACTGCATTCTTCCTTTACATATGTTGGTGAGTTCTGATAGATATCTCACTAGATTTCTCAAAGCAGAATTTCTACTTAGTAAGTAAAGTTACATAAATCCCTTTCCCTCTTTCAACAATCACCTGCACTTGTGGAACTTGAGAATGAACAAGAAAGTCATTGTTCATTCAAGAGTAAAGTTTTGTGTTATGAAACACAATCCTTGAATCTGTTTATGTTCTGTTTGTTTGTGACTCATAGTTAATGGAAAACAACTCAACTGATATTTAAGATAGGTTGAGTGACATTATAAAATACATAACTCTCCTAGAGAATGAGATTTAAAATTAGAGACTGATGACAAGATGCTACTCCACAAAAAGTGCCTGAAATAACATTTCATAAAGGTGAAGTTGATGTTCACTATGTTTAGTCACTTCATATGAAGTATTTGAGTTGTGTGGTTTACAGTCACGCTTTATTTGTAATATAGTATATAAGATGATGTTGGCTTGCCAGTGTTACAAAAGCAATCATGAAATGTCCTTGATTCTTATCTGAAGTGATACTATCAAGTTTATTGTTCTCAATAGCCAGCTGCCTCCAAGGACCTTATCACAAGAATACGAGGGTCCTTAGCATCACTGGAACATTGTTGATCCA